CCTGACAGAATTGGTGTAACTGAGTCAGATTTGTAGGCTGTCTTGCTCGCACAAGCTTTTTCAACTCTGCCCACACTTTCTCTATAGGATTGAGATCAGGGCTTTGTGATGGCCACTCCAAAACATTCGCTCTGTTGTCCTTAAAGCACATTTGAGCTAATTTGGCAGTGTGCTTAGGGCCATGGTCTGCTTGGAAGAGCCATTTGTGGCCAAGTATTAATTTCCTGGCTGATGCCTTGAGATGTTGCTTCAGTATTTCTCCATAATGTTCTGTCTTCATGATGCCATCTATGCTGTGTTACTGGTGACAAAGAGCAAACAAGCCCATGATAGATTAGTGTTGCCCTGCTGCAACCCCCCCCGAGTACCACAAAATGACCTCACTGGGGTTTAAATAAGACCGCTGCAAAACAGCACACAGTGAGGGAGGATCCCTCTCCTGAGAAAGCCCAGAGTTTACATGTGGTGAGGGTGAAGAAAAACTACTGACCACATTTCATGTGTGTGTGTTTAAGAGAGAGAGAGAGAGAGAGAGAGAGAGAGAGAGAGAGAGAGAGAGAGAGAGCACAGACTTTTTTAAGTGTACATGTTTCGTTTTTTCCATGTCCATTGTTTGGAATGATTGTCAGATGTGCTGCAGTGGAAATGAATGCTGACGTGAATCAGACATGCAAGCAGCCGCAGTCACTGATCAGCCCAAATGTTTAGTCTGGGACCAGATTCAAGACCGGGGCTGTTTGCTTTCCTGTGCGACTCTGCAGGCAGATCACTGACTGATCCTGTTTGTTTGTTGACACGGTTATTAGATGAGGTGAATCAAAGGTAGCAGAGGAGAAAGGAGCATGTGCCACTTTCTGACGTTTCCAACAACATGGTTTACATCAGGGGTCACCAATCTCAGTCCTGGAGGGCCGGTATCCCTGCAGGGTTTAGCGCCAACTTGCCTCAACACACCTGCCCTGGTGTTTCAAGTATACCTAGTAAGAGCTTGATTAGCTTGTTCAGGTTTGTTGATTAGGGTTGGAGCTAAAATCTGCAGGACAGCGTCCTTTCTGGAACAAGTTTGGTGACCCCTGGTTTACATCCTCGGCTGATGTAAAAGCAGTGTTAAAAGGTACTAAACTAACCAATTAAATTTTACAACAGATAAAGTAAACCCCCTATCTTATTCACCAATTACTTTTCAGTCTCTCCTTGAAATACAGAAAACCCGGCTGCGAATCCAAGACATTCCAAAGCCATCCCAGTTATTTCTTGAAGGTTTACAGAAGTGAAAGGACAGCACAGGCCTGGAGTGCTATCTTTGTATCTGAGTGCTTCCTGTTTTCATTGCAGGCTGACCCTCGTCTTAGCGGGAGACACGCTGAGGGCGCCAAACTGACTAATTGAGACGATGCAAAGTTTGTCTGCATTAAACTGTTGGGTGACCCCGCAGCTATGATGTCAGATCGGCGCTAGCCTGCTTCTCTCTCTACATGAGCTTTGTGGAACCTTCTACCCGCTCTCTCCTTCATTAAATATGAAGTCTAATAGAGTAACACACCCCACAGAGGAGTTTATCTTCCCGATAACATAAGCTCTGCCGTATGGGAAAGCTTACAGCGGCCAGCTGGGATTTCCTCCCGCTAATGGCACTGGAAGAGATCCAGAAAGCTCCAGGAGGAAGAGTGCATCTCTGGGGCTTCACGTTCAGCAAATTCTGACCTGGAATCTCCAGCTTTTCTGAAGCACTTCAGTCAGGTGGGGCACCTCATGCGGGCTCATCTCTGGCACCCCTCGGGGATGGTTTGTCGGCTGCCAGGCACCAGGAGGCTTCACCCGTGTAAGAGTGAGATCAGAGAGGGAAAGTGTTTCTTGGGAGCGGAGGCCATCGATTTTTTAGCCCACAGTTGTAACTGTTAGTTGTTTTGTGAGCGCGGGGGATGGAAATGGAGGGAGGGATGGGGGTTACGTCCTTTTGAGCCCCTCAGAATAGGTGACAATGGCTCAATGTTGGGAACATATGTAAAGGGACCCCCGCCGCTCATGGAAAAGCAGCTCCGCTTTGGCCCTGCCGTTGAGAAAATACAACCTCGCTGCTTTTCTTTTGCCCCCTCCAAAGAATGGTTGAATGGAGAGCTGCCGCTACGGGCCATTCAGGGCCAAAGTCCCCATGAATTCACCCGCGCACAAATGCATCCTGAACTGGAAAATACATTTGCTTAACAAATTAAAATAAAAGGCCTGATGTGTTAGTGTGTGGCACGGCAGTCCAGTGTAAAGGATTGTGCGGGAGGGCGTCCCCTGTAGCGCATGTCTTTGGACTTGTGGGGGAAATCGGAGCACCCGGAGAAAACCCAAAGAAAAAACTAAGAATCTATAATACTTTAATTAATACAAGCATTTAGATATTAGAAACCTAAAATTTAAACTGAGCATCAGAATTGGGAATTAAGGTTATTTAAGTCAATTTGAACATAATATTATGGCCCAATCCCAATTCTATTTTTGTACCCCTACCCCTTAGGCCATACAACCAAGGGTTAAGGGGAAGGGCTTCGAAATTTACCCCTAAGAACTGGGACAGCACTACAGCACCTGCACACGTCATCATATGTCATCGCGATCTCATGCGTCATATGAGATCACAGATCGCGACTGCTGTAGCTATTCGAGTTGGAGATCACTGAAGGCATATATTATGATATCATAACAATCTAATGTGGCACTAAGATCCTAACTGTCAGGGCCGGAGTGGGACTCTTTTTCAGCCCTGGAGTTTCAAGCCTCAGACCGGCCCACCTCAGTTCACGACTGACTATA